CAGATCTTATCCCCCCCCCCCCCCCCCCCCGCTTTCTTCTCCTGTGTCAAATCCCCCCCCCCCCCCATCATTGCTCATTGATGATGACAAACCCCTCCTGAATGGAACGACTTCTCTGGGAATGACGTTCCCTGTGAACTGTGGAGCAGAGAGACTTCAAAGACTTTGTCCTTTGCTTTTGTCGGGTGTCCTCCCGGCGTGGGTGGGGGGCTGGTGGGCCCTCCCCCTGCGAGGTGTGACCCACGGGAGCAGAGGGGGTTGGGGAGCTGGGCCCTTCCCACGGGATCCCAGGGGCAGGGTGGTCATTCCAAGCACCAGACCCTCCTCGTGGTTGGCTCACTGCAGGCCCTGAGGTGCTGGGGAGAGGAGGAAAGGGCAGATCCCTGCTCTCCTGCTGCTTTGGGGTGGCTAAAAAGCAGGTGGAGACACTGATGGAGCTGCTGAGACCTCCTGGAGGCTCCGTGCTGGGAAGGGGAATTCATGTCTCCTTGTCCCTCTGCTGCCTCCGTGGCTGGGAGGGAGGGTGAGGTGCCCTGGGTGTCCCAGGACACAGCGGCTCTGACCTCTGGGTGATGTTGTACCCACCCTGTGGACACTGGGGCCATGTGGCTTCAGGCCTGGATCACAGGAGCTTGGGGGGGCTGCTTGGCTGGGGACAGGGGGGGGCAGATCCCAGGTCTCACCCTGTGCTGCCGGAGACAGAGCGTGGTTGTCACACCCCCTTCCCCTCCCCAGTCTGTGCCCCCAGCCCACCCTCTCCAGGCTGGTGTCCTCCCCCCACAGGCACAAATCTGCCCCTTCTGGGGGGGTGGGAAGAGCCCCCAAATCCTTCCCTGCCCGTTTCCCTGGAGAGACACAGCCCCACTTGCCCGGGCTGCCTGTGCCCAGCGCCCCGAACCTCTGGCCCTCTTCCCATTTGAACTGACTTCCCAGCTCATTCATGGGTGGGGATTTCTGGGCTCCAGACAACCAGCCACAGTGCCCGGGAATCCATCCAGCCCCATCCCAGCCCCCCCAGCCCCCTCCCCAGGCCTTGCCCTCAGGGACCAGCCCAGCTCGGAGCTGGTTGAACCATCGCCAGCACCTCCCACTGGCTGCATTTCAACCCAGCGACTTGTCAGCGTCTGTCTCCTCCCGGGACTGTCCCCTCAGGCTCCTGAAGCCCCCCCGGGCTGCCCCTCTGCCACCATTTGTTGTGTGACACCCCTTCCCTGGGGACAACCAGGGTGCTGAAGGGCTGTGTGCCAGAGCCCCAGCCTGGCTGGGGTGATCCCTTGGGCTGGGTGCTGGGGGGATGTCCCAGCCACCCTGCTGCACCTTCCCTTGGCTTCCTGGGTCACTGCCCAGCCCCGAGCCACTGCTTTGGGGTTTCTTCTTCTTCCTTCTCCCCTCCTCCTGCTTGCCTTGGCTGGGCAGCTCCTCTGGCAGGGCAAGGGGAGTGGGAGCAGCAGAAGGTCTGCAGAGGGGTTGGGCTCATCC